GCAAGCCGAGTTGGTAACGGGAAATCACAAGTCAGAAACACGGGAAACAGGAACCAGGAACAGGGCACGAGGAGCTAGAGATCATCCAGCAACCAGAGGAAGTGATGAGCCTCCTTATAAAGGCCATCTGGCACCAGACTGAGGCTGATGTGTACTTCTGCGGCCATGTAGAGTATTGGCAGAAATGCCAGATCTTCCAAATCTCCTGCCGTGGACAGGACCCTGCCAAATATAGTGTATGTTTATTTACCACTCACTTTCTTTGGTGAATGAGTATGGTTACTATATACTTCAAATGAAGGTCAGGGATTGTATCTAGCGTACCCCTTAATTTTAAAGGGAGCTTCCAGATTCTGAAAAGCCTACATCCACAGACCCTCACATCCACTGGGCCAGGGTTGTGGGGAAGGGTCCCTTGCCCTCATCAACAGGGGAACAAGATGTTTTGCCAGAATGTTCACCCAGCAAGTACCACCCCATGTTGAGGGCATGTGGCCTTGTATGGTTCAGGGAGGGGGCTGCACTCCCTTCCCTTCTTTCCTGACCATGCAAACTGCATACTTGGATAAGGGTCTGGTCTTGTTTTTCTGTGTGTGGTTCCTTCTTAACATTCATACCAGGCTCCACTATTTAGTATTGATTATGGGGGGATCCCATGTCATATTTGTTTTCATTGGATCCCCCATGAAAATCCAAAACAGACCCAAGGAGCCTGATATTAATTTTGGGGGGACATCATAGCTTTTTTTTGCACTATACCCGATGTCTGTTTACAATCACCTGTCAGTCAGGAATCCTAGGCTTAGATCAATAATAGTGCCAGTTCTGGAAAACCTATAAATATTTCAATAATGAAAAATTATGAAGAATTGTATATAATCCCAAACAATATATTGTATAAACAGTCCTTTTGTTAAAAAATGTGCCAAATATCAAAGACCTTAGTTCAATGTACATGTATTCTTCCAATCACTTGATAGACCCTTTGCATAATAAACCAAGGAAAAATTCTCACCAGATGATAAGATCCTTTAAAGTGTTACTGAACCCACAACAGTAAAATCAGTCTGTATTTGCAGTAAAGAAGGCTTATTATACTCCCTTGAACTCCCTTACAAGGCTTGCGTAAAAAGGCTGTTTGGTCCTGTTTTCTGTGCCCCTTCTCTTGTTCAAATGTCCACCTGATAAGACAGACTGAACCCATAGTCACATGCACATGCTCAATTTAGTGTGTATTGCTAGAGAGGATTTTTTTTTTCTTGGGAGAGTGCATGTGATCAGCACAGGGCCAATCAGCACTGTCCAGACAGAGGGTCAGGGGTGTTGCATCCTCCTAGAGCAGAAAGAAAACTCCTCCTACAAGCTTTAACCAGTGCTCAGCTGAAGTCACAAGACAGCTCTAACTGCTGATGAGAAAAGATATTCAGCAGTTTATATTTACTAAAATAATTGCATTTCCATGTTGTGTGTACTGTGGAAGACTAGATATAGTGAATGCAGGGTCCTGGGTTTAGTAACACTTTAACATCAATGGATCATAGCAAGCATGATCTAAGTACAACAGTGGCCACCAGATGTCGAACTCCTTCTTCCAAGTCCCTTTTATAAGTGTCCATCTGTGCCATGAATCCTCCAGACAGTATTATAGGGAAAGCCCCCCCCCAAAAAAAAACAGTAGTACTTACGTAATTGCATGTGTTTTTTTTCTATGGGGTAGTATGGAGAAAAGAACAGGTAGCGATTGTGATTTTTTTTTTCTTTTTATGTATATCTTGGGTGCATGTGGTGTTCAGCGATGGTGCCTGGGTTCAATCCTACCAGTGTGCACGGGGGTGATGCTGTGTGCTGTCTCCTGCTTGGTGAGCCATTTGGGCACCCACAAGCTGGGGGGCTGTTTTTCCCCCACCTGGAGGGAGGTGGGTGATGCAACCACACCTGTGGTGGTTCATTGATCCTCCCCTCTGCTTGGTTCACCATCATTTGGGAGGTGTTTTCCAGCATATGTGTCTTATTGCCCTTGCAGGAAGTGATATCATCGGCACCATTTGATGATACTGGTGGATGGACCCATGTCGGAGTATACAGTATATTGGCCAGTCTTGGGCTTCATTTCCTTTTCTTCTGACTATGTTGCATGTACCTGATGGTGGTGGAGGTTGAACATCTCCCTGATGTGTAGGGGTTTAAAAATCTGTTCTTCCTGGTGTGTATAATTTGTTCCATCTTGTTTTTATATCTTAGTACTTGTCTCTGGGGTTGGATGGTTATCATACATTTTATATATTAGATTAAGGGTTAAGCTATTAATGTATTGTTTGACTTTTGGTGTTATTGTGTTACAACCTCAGGCGTTGCTATTGTAAGTTGTAGATAAATATTATATTGCTTGTAATTTTATTATAGACAATGTATATAGTTAGATATTAACAGTCAGCAATGGAATTTGGATAGTTTTAAGGGGATATTACTAGTGTATTTGGTGCATATATTATTAGTAATTATTGCCTCCAGAGACTGGGTATAAGTGGTATGACATGCTTTTTGAGTTTTAATTAGGGATGTACATATCACAGTATTTTTCTGGATATTATATATTTATTCCACCATGTAGGGTACACTGCAAGTGTTGGAGGTTGGTGAGGTGGTGGCCCAGTCTGCCCTACTATACTCCAGTGGTCCCCCTTTGGGGATGGCGCACGATTCCAGGGTGTCTCACCCCTGCTGGAGGGTCTAGGGCTGATAGTCCCGCTGGATAGCCACATGCACCTTGGGTAAGAACATTAAGTAGTAAAGAAAAAATGTGATGTGTATTTGTATCTACATTGTTATACTCTGTCATTTTATACACTTTCTGTTTTTTGTTATATAGCTTGAAATATAGATTCTGATATGTACTGCTCCTTATGAAGCAGCTTGGAACGCGTAGAGCTCATCAGTGACCCTCTTCTCCTCCCTCTTTGTATAGAATTTATTTACAGCATTTGGCTATCTTGACTTACAATTGTAATAAGTTTGTAGAGGGCTGGATGTTTGTTTTGAGTACACCTATATTAATGGTTCAGAGTCTTTTCTTATCCTTTTTTAATGTGTTTATGTACAATCTTTTTTTTACTGTGTAAAAATAAAATTATGTATGTTGATATGTGGTTGTCATTTTTTGATACCTGGTGCCTTAAAAGCAGAACTATACTCACCTCAGTTCCAGCAATGCAGCATCCCTCTGCTCCCCACCTAACCGCTGACATCTTCGAGTAGCCGGCTTCCGGGTCTCGATTACTGGCTCCTGTCATTGGCTGGGCAGGGAAGACTCCACTCCCGCGCATGTGCAGGCGTTAAGTCAGATTTTGCATTGCCAAATTTGTACAGTGAGCTGCGCATGCACGTCTCACTCTACAGGGGCGGACAGGCAGGTAAGTAAGTTTAAGTTTGCCCATTTTTAATATTTTCCTAGTTCCACTTTAAAAGCACAAGCATTTTAGTATTTTGTGATTGTAACTTTACACAATCAAATGATAAATAATTAAAATTGTGCTTACATAAATATTATGGTGCAAAAACCTAAATCACCAGTTGAAATAGCTCCCTGCCCTACAATTTACCACTGTGGTGGAAATGATTTATAATAGGCTATTTTTCTCTTAGGATGGAATACATTTACCCTGGTGAAAGGCAACAAGAAAAATATTGCACCCATTACAAACATCATGGGTATTGTTTGTTACTCTTGCACAAATGTTGAGATGTTTGCAAAGAACATTTTTTATACATAGACCCCCACGTCTTCAGTTTGTGAATGAACAGGAAGCCTCTGTACAGTGAACCTACTGTTCATTCACTGAGTGCAGCTATGGCTGCAGAGGAGAAGAAAAAAGACTGAGGACTAAGAGTCCTCAAAATCTTTATCTTAAAAGTAAAACATCAGAGGTCTAGTTAGAGCCCTGATATTTTACCAAAGCCCACCTGACAGGATGCTGAATAAATGTAAAAAATAACAGTTTAAAAAAATAAAAAAAAATTAAAAACATAATAAAAAAACATATTTAAGACCTGCAGACAGCAACCTGTACAAATCAATGCCAGGTAGACAGATGCCGTGTCTGTAAACCACTCCCAGTCCTGGATACAAATTGAGTCATACATCCCTATATGCATGTAACCACTAAGATGTAGAGTTACATTTGTAGAAACATGGCATCTATCAGCTTGTCAGTAATTTGTACAGTCTCATATACCCATATTATCACTTTTGGACTTAGTTATACAGTATATTTTTTATACTTGATATATGTTATATCACACTTACAGTGCTCTACATACATGACTACACCTAACAGATTTTCCTTTCAGAATCAACATTTTCTATGGGGCACTATACTACAAAATACTCCCACAAATGTGGGCAATTGATTGCAAACAAGATTTGTTAATTTGCAGACACAAAAAAAGTATTTTTTCTGACAAATTCATTGAAGACCATGTTGCAAAAATGAATACACCCCAATAAAAGTCTTAGGAGCAAAGCTAACTTGTAGACAACAAAATCCTAATTAACAAAAATTCAACTACAGGTGAGTCTAATTATTCCATAAACAGGCGTCTGGCTGACAGCTGATTGTAAAAGGGCGTTACTTAACAAAGAAAACACCATTCCCATTTCATGGTGTCAGCAATGGCACCATATGGAAGAGAAATGTCACAAGGCCTGAGAAGGAAAATAATTTCTTTACACAAGAAAGGTGAAGGCTACAAGAAGATTAGCAAAGCTTTACTTATCAGTCAGAATACTGTAGCAAAAGTTATACAAAAATTTAACAAACATGGAACTGCAACCATCTCACCGAGACATCCAGACCTCGACAGAAGAGTCTTCTGATGAGAAGGGTTGAAGTAAATCACCATGTAAGTTCACTGCAGTTAGCTTAAGAAGTAAAAAGCCAAACTGGGGTGATTATTTCCTGTGACACAATACGGCATACACTGCCCACCTAGAACTTGCCAGGGCCCATGCTGAAAAAGAAGACTAACTGGGACTCTGTACTCTGGAGTGATGAGACCAAGATAAATGTTTTTAGAACTGATGGCTTCAAAACTATGGCATTGCAAAGGTGAGAAGTACAAAGAAAAAGTATGGTGCCTCCAGTGAAACATGGTGGTGGCAGTGTCCTTCTGTGGAGCTGCATGAATGCTGCTGGTGTTGGGGAGCTACATTTCATTGATGGTATCACGAATTCACAGATATACTGGTCTATCTTGAAAGAGAAGATGCTACCATCACTCCATGCCCTTGGTCGTCGTGCACTTTTTCAACATGACAATGATCCAAAACACACATCTAAGGTCACTTTCATTTCTAATGAAGAACATGGTGAAAGTGATTCAGTGGCCAAGTACGTCTCCTGATCTGAACACCTATGGGAAATTCTGAAGAGACAAGTTGAGCATCACTCTCCATCCAGCATCCAGGTTCTAAAAGAGGTCATTCTTAAAGACCTCTTAAAGCTCCTTAATGCAAACTAAGAACCCCTGTCTCTGAAGAACGCTACTGTGTGTGCTTAAACCTCTATATACCCTGCCTGCGGTGACAGTGGTATACAGACGATTATTCAAACATCATAGTGTTATTGCTGATATTGCCGAGTTTCCTCTTTCTCTGTACAAAAAGGAGGTGGTGGCAGTGTGAATAGTGTACCACAACTCCAGTGTCTGCCAGATCTTTCTGGAGGGATCGTGCAGTCAAACGTGGGTTTTGAATTGTTTTTCTCACAATCCTGCAAGCTGTTCTGTCTGATATTTTTCTTGGTCTTCCAGATCTTGCTTTAACTTCCACTGTTCCTGATGACTGCCATTTCTTAATTATATTCCGAACAGAGGATATTGACATCTGAAAACGCTTTGCTATCTTCTTATAGCCTTCTCCAGCTTTGTGAGCGTCAACTATTTTCAGTTTCAGTTTTCTAGACAACTGCTTAGAAGAACCCATGGTGCTGATTGTTGGGGCAAGGTCAGATGAGTCCGGGGAGTTAAAACCTTTGAGATTGACATCACCTGGTCTTCCCAGACGATGATTGAGAACAATCCATGACACTGGCAGGTCTCAGCTTTGCAAAGGGGGCAGTGCATGCTATAAATTCTGCAGGGTGCCCAAACATTTGCAGATGCCATTTTTTTGTTTTCTGTTATTTTGAAAGTGTAAATGATGGAAATAAAATCTAACTTTTGTTGACATATTATAAGAATGTCTAATCTGTAATTTGATGCCTTTTGGAGATTTTTCCATCTTTCCTTGGCTTCTTTATGCACATTAATGCAAATTTTTAGCTGGGGTGCCCAAACTTTCGATCCCCACTGTATATATATTTGGGGGTCTTTTACAAACTCTTAAATCTGTAAATGAAAAATAAAAAAAATTAAAAAACTGCAAAATGATTTGGTTGCCTTTGCCTAAGATTAAAAGTGAAATGTATGTAGGGAGGGCATGTAGGGATCTGCTGTACTCCACTGTCTGTATATTTCTCTTATTCGTAACCTCCCTAGCGGTCTGATTATGTTCATATTTCTGTGCTCAAAGCGGTACATTTTTTTGCATGGAAATATGTTTTTTTTTTATTGTAGGCCTGTAATTTTTTAGGAATAACTCACTGAAATCTGTCCGAACAAGAGTCTAGTAAATATCCCAGGTAGGATAAACCTTTAAACACGAAATAATAAATTATAATTTAATAAATAATCATAAAAAAATAATAATATAATAATAATACATTTAATTCAATAATATAATCAAACCAAAAACACTGACATTTGAAATATAGCGCCAAGTTCACTCATCACTGAGCAAAGTCGCTAAATCGTTTTCAGTGTCTGATGATGAATTTCCCCACAAGTCATTATCATTCAATTCTGCAAGTGGTTCTAATTTACTATCGCTGTTCTCTAGCTGGTCTAAACCTCTTTTGACCTAAAGGGACGCTTTTTGGACGCCATGGACGTTTCTCAGTTTCCAGGCAGAAAGAACAGTATAAATGCAGGCAGGGCACAGGACAAAGCACTAGGGACAAAATGTATGTGAAATGGTTTGATACAGTAATGTTTTACTATGTGATTTAGTGAATGTCACTTTTTGTCATTTTCAAATTTCCTGCTGTTCTGTCCACCGTACGTCCCGATGCTCGCAGGGAACGGAACCCAGAAGACAGATGCCGGCATCCGCCAGATTACATTGCCGGGGACACTGCAGGAGGGACATCACGGGAGCGCAGGACAAGGTAAGTGATCGAGGGATCAAGGGATCGCGGAGCAGCGCCGCATGGTAAGCCCGAGTCTACTGAAACTTTACCCCGAGCTACACTCGGGAATACCTCCAGGGAGGTTAATGTTCTCCAAGATTATTTATGTACATAGTAGCAATCGTGCGCACAGAGATGGATGGGAACCTCCATTTTGGCAAAGGCCTCCATCTTATATCATTTCTACTCCCAAATCAGTTTCCCTCCAATTCCCCCTCCCTCTCTGTTGAGTGACATGTGGTCTGTATGATGCAGAGATCACAGGCAATCAGGTTCAGCGGGAGAGCTCCAGGGTTATAAATTCCACACTAGCTGGTGCCCAGGTGTCTGTTAGCTTCTCAATCTGAGATATCATAAAGCCATAAACCAAGTCCTTCACTGTGCTTCAAAGACATTCCAGATAAGCAGTAAAATGCACTTTCCCCTATAATTTTATATCTGGAGATATGGAAGACTTACATAAAAACCAAGCATAAATTCAGATCGGTTACTTTAATACAAGTCGCCTGTTATATTACACCCCCCTAGTTGGAATCTACAGGAGAGCAGAAAATGATATCTCCTTAACAGTCCCAAACAGGTATGTCATATTTCATATCTAAACATTCAGCAGATGCTTCTGCATATTAATCTACTAGTGGCTAGGCTGCTACATGCACCGGGGGTAAATTATTGATCATGATATAAGTTGAGAGAGATTTTGGTGCTAGCTTTGGTCTTCGTCTGCAACACCCTCCCCAAATGAGGCAATTGGTTCTCTGCTTCAAGGAGACACCCTGCTGAGTTCCTAGAAAAGCTGTTATGCTTGGAGCAGAGGTTGAGTTGAGCTAAGTTGAGTAGGTCGTGAGTAAAGTTGAAGAATCCTCTCTTTTAACATCGGAAACCAACTTTGGGAGATAAGGCACCCTTTTGGCTCAGGAAACTTGATCTGCCTAGCCCAGGACTTTTGGCAAGTACTCTATCTCTCTAACCTTCTTTCTGTTATCTATTTTCTGTGTTATTGCTCTCTGTATATTTATATATATATATATTGGCTACATCTTTTTCTGTAAATATTGTTATTGCACCGTTTTGACCTTTTTAGTAATAAATCCTATTATCTGAAAAGTGTTGAACTGTTTCTAAAGCTCCTTAATGCAAACTAAGAACCCCTGTCTCTGAAGAACGCTACTGTGTGTGCTTAAACCTCTATATACCCTGCCTGCGGTGACAGTGGTATACAGACGATTATTCAAACATCATAGTGTTATTGCTGATATTGCCGAGTTTCCTCTTTCTCTGTACAAAAAGGAGGTGGTGGCAGTGTGAAGGGTTAATTGCGTAATTAACCTGACCCAGTAACAATCGCTCCCAGGCTGCAGGTACACAGATTGTTGTCCATTAGCTGGAAAATCTTTGTGCAGGGTGCAGCTGGGCGTGGCATTGTTACGTGCGGTTTTTGTTTGGCTAGTCCTTCGGTCACGAGTTTGGTGAGAAGGGCTGTGGTCTGATGCCGCGATCGTCACATACATTACTTTCTGTCTCTTTGTGTCTGGGCAGAAACCCATGGAGGACAAGTGGAGAGGGAGACACAGTACTGAGCCTCATGACCTTACACACCAAGGAGCTGCTGTTGCTGTTGTATTTCACCCAGACTAGAAGCAGAGACTATTAGGCAGGTATTCCTATGTTCTAATAGTTTAACTGCAGCTGCCCATAGCTACTTAAGTGTGTATCCTTGACACAGACTTATCTCTGCCCTATTCCTATTATCTCACATGCACAGTGCTAGATAGATCTGTGCTACTGTTTGTGTGTAGTGGGCACCTTTCAGTATATTAGCATGTAAACCTGTTTATCCCAATAGAATTTACATGCAGCTTCTGCTATTTTAGTTACTAATGTCCCTTCTGGTCTGGGATTCCATAGCTTAGGACTCAATAACCAGCATAGGCTGAAGCCAGGTTAAGCATCTGATGGCCAATTCTGGTAGTTAGAGATCCAGTGGCATTATGATACTAGGGACTAAGTGCAGAGTAGATAGGCTGAATGTGACTTCTAGTGCCAAGCCATGGTTTCTGCTGGCCAAAAGCTGCAATCTAGGTGAGTTGAAAAATGTCTGTTGGGTCTCCTTATCACCGCTGATCTTGTCATCAGGTCTCCATTCCAAGATGAATGTTGCATCATGATCATCCTCAGGGGCCGCTACAACTGGACTTTGCTGCAACATTCATCACACAATTCCACCAGGTTTCTTGTTGGGACCTTTGCTGATAATACTTGTTTGTACATTGGATATACATGTATACGCTTGTATTATTTCCATACTTGTGTGCATCTATATACTTTTATACATGACTGATGTTATATGCTGGTTGCAGTAGTGCTCCCAATTACTTTGATTAGAATACTAGTTAATTTACCAGGAAGGGAATCCCCTCTGTTCACCCTCTCCTTGGTGGAGATACTGCCAACTTTATTATCAAACCCATTCTTCCAATTAGCAAAGGTTCTAGTTCTCCCATTTACCTACAGGTTTAGTGCAGTATCCTGTCTGAGGAGGACCATTTGTCATACCTCCTCCTTCCCAAAAGAGGACTACGAGTACATAAACTCAAACGTTTTTTGTTTTCTTTTTAAAGAAAGGTGTGGGGTTGGAACCCACTGTTTTTTATTGTTCTCTGGGTCTTTATTAGAAAAATGTACTTTGATTTGTCCTCTGTCTATGAGTAAATTTTAGTGAATTTGGAGAGATTTCACCTCACTTTCTATTTTGCCTATATGACAACAAGTAAAAGAAAATCCCTCCAATAGGATGAAAAAAGGTTTGGCTTTAGATATAATTTAAAGTACACACAGGTTTTCCTTACAAATGGCTCTGTAAAGATCATGAAAGGCAATTTATGCTCTTTGTCTTCTAGTTGTTTATTGTTATCACTGAAAGTCAAAGTGAATTAACATCCCAAAATTTGGGTTTTCCCCAGAACAGTAATAGAGGGTAAATCTTTCAATGGGGACACATATTCTTGTGACCTTGTTGACAACCAGGGTTTCCCTCACTTTGGTAGGATTTCATCTCTCTTGACTTGGC